GAGGCTTCTAGACTTCTGATTGGCCAACATTTCTACACGGTTAGGCATATCGACACCTGTTGCTTTGGCATGTTCCTAGCAGCGTTTTCCTTCATTTTAGCTTTTACGTGTGGACAGGATTCTTTTTTAAAACAAAAACGGAAAATCTCCATTTTCAAAAATACACCTGTACGTGTGGACATAGCCTGAGTAATCTGGCTGGTTCCAGTGTTTCACATGCCATACCACAAGTCATTTTTGGAAGCTCGGTATTGGAGAACCAAGACCTCTGCCTGCCACCCGATCTGTTAAAATAGAGAAGCCTCTGGCAGAACCAGGCTCTGTGAGGGACAGCTATCTGCCTCAAACCAGTCTTGGGGTAAGTCAGTATGACATCTGGGTCTTTCCATTTCTCAATGAGAGACTTGTACACCATATTAGTGAAGAATATCACATTTTCAGCAGGGATTTGAATTTTTTTAATTCTAGGCCAGATTTTCCTGAACAGCCGCTTGGCGATGGCATCGGCTTTTTCAGAAGAGCAGGATGAGTCAGCATTTTTAATGACATGCTTCACCAAGTTCTCGATACAGATTTCCACAGAAGACCTGTATTTTTCAACCTCTTCAGCCGCACTCAGGGCTGGATTCTGCATAGACTCGATCAAGTGCTTTTTAATTATATGGATCTGTAAATTTCCCGGTACTGGGTCCCCGTCATTCAGTAACATTAGTAAATGTTTTTATTTACAAAATGTTTTGCTATGGAGCTCTTGGTAAATGGCCTCATCAATCCTGTTTAATTTCTTTTTTATCTATATGCAGGTCTTTGATCCTGACGTCAGACAACATGTTGTCAAAGAGTAACTTGTGGAGTGGAACAGGTGGTTTGTAGTGGGACTTTTTTGCAGCATGTGAGAGCACAGCATGAATAAGTGTGCTCGCACACTCCTTTTCATCAGCCTCAAAAGAATTGCCACTAACACCAGATGGTGATTTTTTTCCCCCCAGTATTTGAAATATATTAGCTTCAAACTCTTGTAAAAGTGTTTTGGAAATCTTTTTAGTATCTGGTAGTTGGTCTCCATCATCTTCAGTTGTTCCACACCATGTGAATAAACTTGTTAGTAGGTTTCGCTTCTTTCGGAAGAGGTGATCTTTGAATATAGGAATGACCACTTCTTGTTGCGGCTGAGCTACGGCTAGTGCAATGATCACAAGATTAGGTAGAATATCAGCAGCTTTGTAATGCC